AGAGCCTGAAATTTTAATTATGTCTGGGSTAATGCTAAAATTAACTTTTGAAATTTTCGGACAATTTAGGAACCAAAGAAATATTCTACATAGTTGCACGATAGTAGCATTGCACACCAACAAGATACTTCATAATATAAGTACATGAAATTATTTTTATACATCTAAATATACACAAAAATAACTTCAAAACAAGATGAACATTATTAATTTGCGGTTAAGTAATATGTGTAACCAAAATCTTACAAAATCAGGTATAATCTGCACGGAATCTTAAGGAATTACGAAGGATTAAATGAGAATACATCTATCGATAACAGGTTAATTAATGCGAGCGCACAACAGCAGAATTGCTTTTTACAAACTTATAATTAAGCTTTTCAAATATTAACTGTACCAAAAACAAGAAATTTGYTGCTTTTCTTGTGATAAAAACACAGAAAATATTTATAAATACTCGAGTGAAATGTCGAAGTAGCGCRAGCCAACGCAGAGTAAGTGCATTTGTCTAAAAAAAATACAATGTTTCAAAAGCTGTCCTTTTGAACGATTAAGTGATATTGAATTCTGAAGTCTTCAAAAGCTTGTTATTCAGAGTCGACTGTGAATCAAGATATTATTCTACTAAATTTTAGCTTAATAACAATGTACTATTGAAAATACTATTAAAGATACCTTGATAATATCTACGTTAGGGTCCAGCAAGATAGAGTATATCAATAAACCCACACTATAGCTTAAGTAATGCTATTTAGAGGGATGTACTTCGAATTATAAAAATACTCTTCAAGTTGACGGACAAGTACGTCCAATCTGTCACGAAAAATGAAATCTTGCATTGTCTGTGTTTTTCATTCTCATTTTTCATTCCAAAAGCTACCCGTCGCAGGGAAAATAGACTAGATTATGTACAAAAAAGTGTGTTATTTTAATTTTTCTTGTTTTAACAGCCAATTTTAAAACGAAATTGAACTGAGGGTTTATTCAATCAAACGATTAGTTTTACGATATGAACAAATACAAGAAGAAAAAATGGCAACGCAATTTGAGAATATGCAAACAACTGCTAACACAACAAGTACATATTAAGGCAAAGCTTACAATGAAGCAATAAAAACAAAATAATGATAATTGTAGTTTTAGAAAACGCAGCTCTAAATGCACAAAAAGGTTTAGAAATCTCGTCATTAAGGATTGAATTGCAAAACAAAGAAAACGCTTAATTTTGTAGTTTGCATAGCGTCCAAACCTGAATAGCAATCAACATACCTGTCCAATATACTGTAAAAGGGCCGTAGTTTCCAACAAGTTTTACAATTGTCATTTTCCAAGAAAACGGGAGCAACTCTCTCCTTTATTTCCTCAAATCCCAGAATTTTAGATTGCAGCCAAGTGCTAAATCTTGGCTTAGGATGCTAATGTTTTCTTTTGGCTGTATTTTCAACATGTGACCGATAAATACAATGAATAATTTATGGCTTTGAAGATTTTAATAAAGCATTAAGTTTATCAACCGATGGAAACAAAGTTATCATCGGAAGAAGACAATTTTACAGCAAAACATCTGCCTTAGAGTCGTTTAGGGACAATACATAACAATTGTTTTTTTTTTTCTTGTAAAACAAAAAACGCATTTATAATACTCATGAAGAGATGATTCAATTGAACGAATTTTCTCTATTTGAATAATATTATTCGTTTCAATGTGATTGTTGTACCTTTTTACCTCAATTATAAAGCGAAATTTAAGTTCAAACGACAAAAAAGTTATTTATTGCTATCGTGCTTGGAGTATGGTGATGTTTAGGRAACGTATATCAACAGAGTCTAGAAAAATCGATGAAAATGGCGKTAATAACGCACCGTTAGTCGAGTAGTTTATCGCATTATAGCCCAATAGTGCAATCGATAGAGACTGTGTAGAGGTCATACTGTTATTACCCGGAATAACTCACTGTTCAAACACAACAACACAAACAACACAGCACCTTATTACAACGCGCGCCGTACCTTGKTCTTCCGCGTCAGAATCTTCTTGTTCATTCTCYGATCCTGTAGTCTTAGCTAAGATCTCTTTTACTTTATCTTCATCTCCTTTCATATTAATTCTTTTATCCTTCAGGTAATGGGGGGTATCTCTTCTTCGAAGCTTCTCGTGTCTCTCGGGGTGATCTTCCCCTTCAAACCGAATTCTTTGATGYTCATCATCGGAGTCTCCCTGAAAGAGCGARAATTTTGTACTGAAAATATGATTCTTGGTGAGTTTAATCCATCTAGGTTTCATGGTTCAAAAATTGCCCTTGGAATTGTAAGCTCTCCAGAGAAACGGAAATGACCGAGACTTGGCAGCTGAAAATGTGTTCCAATATCGGACACATTGAAATACGAGGGAGTGGTGTGAAGTTAGATTCAAAAATTAAGATCAACGAACTGCATGGTTTTGTTAGAGGTGTGATGCGAAGCTACCATGAGAAGTCGATAATTATGTAAATAAAACTACTTCATTCTGCTCGGCGTTGATTAAACTCTTAGCTGTTAATCAGTCAAGTCAATCCTTGTAATATATGGTTGATAACCGTCACTAATGTTTCACTAATCCAGGAAGTTTGTTCCATTTTTTCATGTATCGATGAGTTCTTTCTTTACTCATCTCACTTTGCTATTGAATTGCTATTGCTTTTGAATTCCAATCCATTCAGTTTTCAATTCTCTACTATTCGGTTTTTAATTCCCATTCATCCAGTTTTCACTTCTCAAACATTCATTTGTTTCTACTTTCTATTTCAAAGAATGTTAAAGTTATCTTAACAACATCTTTTAGTAAACCTATAATTGCTAACCTTTTCGCCTTCAGCTTCGTCTGCATCGTTAGCAAACCCAACAACGCCTCGCGGTGGTRAAGTCACCTCCTCTGAATGTTCCTCCTCGGCGGGTTTGTCTTCCGTTGTGTTCTCTTCAAAAGCAATCTTTTTGTGTTTCACTGAATCTGAATCCGAAGCGCTTTCTTCATCCTGGCAAACAAATTAARATCGTATTGGTCAGGAGGCAAAGTCAAAAAATGTGCTTATTTTTCATTTTTTTATAAAGTTCTGAGTAGAAGCAGGAAACAGGGCTTAAAATGTTCGTCTGGAGGTACTGATCAGAAAAAAATCTGTTTCCAGCTTGAAAAACTTGAGAGATCTTTACATTTTAAGTGTATATAATATCGGATTAATAAAATACTGYACCGTGAATGACCGGCCATGTCTCACTGCGCCATCAGCAGCACCAGGATGTGTTTTGTGGATGACACGTTTAGGATGACGTGCCTTGAGGTCTTTAAACCTTGGTGTGTCATGTCGTATGAACTGAGATGTCTAAAAAAACATGAAATCTCAATAACAATTCAACCACTTCACATATTACCCAGTAGTACTTTGCGCGCGCAATTTAAGCTTAGAGCCGGATTATTTCCACAAAATCCTTAATTCTCTCGCTGTTGARACATTCATAAATCTTATTTTATTTACCTCACGATCATGCTCAGGTCCAAGGTCATCMGCAAAATGAATGCCTCCTTCTTTAGGGGGGATTTCTTCCTCTTCATCCTCCTTAAAGTCTTGCATCATCAAGTTATCCATAGCGAAACCATGRCTAAGGTCGTTAGTCAGCATTTCTAATTAAGAAACAAATCCTGGTAAATTAAGTCTCCTTCGCGAGGAAGTCATTTAACAACAGCAATGTATTTCATCTATTTTTGCGGTTACTCCCTTAGTAAGAGAAAACGTCGCTACGAGGTTTTGCCGAAGGTAAGTAAACATGTTCGTGACTACCTCGTACACGTTTCGGATGCATTCCGGAATAATTTCGCCAGGCCGATCGTAGTATCGGCTGACTTAATGTTATCTTACCTAGACTACCCATTCCTTGTTGAGGCAACAGAAAACATGTCAAAACTTTTTCAGATTGTTCATCGTCATCTGTTTGCAGTTTAAGGATTGGCTGGGACTAAAGGAAACACAAAAGTTCAGTAAATCCACAGTGCAATGCGTAATGATATTTCGGAAGTTCGTACATTCATTCATTCATTTATTCTTTCTTTCATTCAAATTATCAGTTGTGCGTTTACTGTACCTGGTTTTCTGACAGCCACAAGGCACTAAGAGGAAGGGTACCAACAGACAGAGGAAGAAACTCAAGTCTGAGGAAAGAATCAAAACCAATCCATCAAAAAACATCTTTAATTATAATTCTACATTCTTGTTTTCATAAACCATAAGATACTCACCTATTTCCAGATACATCTACAACATGAAGATTACGACAGTTTCCAATCTCAGATGGTAGTCGYTGTAGTAAGTTGTCTCGTAATGACAACACAGTTAGCTTGGTGCAATTACCAACCTACATATAATACACATATAGTTTGTATTGAGCCTACTACAAAATTTGGGCTTCCTGTGCTCAAACATCACAGGAAGCCCATTTATTACAAAGTACACAACAGGTAGCCCAACTCATGCCGTCTGCCTTACCTCAACTGGTAAAGAAACTAGTCGATTTCTATCTACATTTAAGAGAGATAATTTGTGGAGTTTGCCAAGTGTTGAAGGTAWTTCCTGAAAGAACGTACAGAATGTTTAAGGATAAGTAGAATTGGTCAAATTAAATGGTAACTTTGGAGCAAAACTACAACAAAAGCAATCTACAACAGAAAAACACAAACAAAATTTTACCTCTAAAAGATTTTCAGTTAAAATCAATTCAGTTAGTCCTATGGATCTGTAAACAAAAACAGACACTTAAATTATGTGAACTTTTAAAAAAGAAATAGTTGTGAATAATGTTTCTAAAGTAAACAAAGCAACAACATACCCTCCAATAGCAGGAGTTAGAGATATAAGACGATTTTGGTCAACTTTTAGCAACTGGAGCTTTTTAAGTTTTCCTAATTCCAAGAACATGACTRATTAGCAACAATTCTCAAAGAGGTTAATATATATTACACCAAATGTCACTAAGAATGGAGTATGGTGAGATAATGAGTGATCTTTTATTGTTTTTGGTGTTTTCCAAAAGTGCTTTTCTTCACCACTTTAGTAAATCAAAAAACGTCTATAATATAGAGGTGTCCAGGCAATGATTGGTACCTATAGTGTCTGGCAAGTCTTCCAGGAAATTCTGTGATAAATGTAAATCTGTCAAAGCAGCACAAAAGCAKATTTCATCGGGAAGGTATTCAATCTTATTTTCTGAGGCATCAAAGATTTGAAGTTTCTTGAGGTTGCCAATTTCCTGAATTCAAWGAAAAGAAACATTCAAAATAAAACAGAAATGAATGTTGAGAAGTGTGTAGTCTACATAGATTGATATTTACGGATTATACACCCTTTTAATAAGTCCCGAGGTATTGAATTCTCCGCACATGACGTCAAATTTATTCTTTTGAATTTTTTGCAATACAAAAGGAATTGAAAAGAATAAATTTGACGTCAAGTGCGGAGAACACAATACCTTGGGACTTATTAAAAGGGTGTATAGTAAGTTTGTCCAACTGAAAAAATTCTACTAATGTCAAAAAATTCAGAGTACAAAATGTTCATAGATTAGACTCGACAAAAGATCAATGTCTGAATCGGGACTTAGCTTAATGAGGTTCATGAAGATTTCATATTATTATATGCTTAGGTGACCACTAATTAGAGARGCAAGAAATAAGAATTTTTTGAAAACCAGTAACTTGAACAGTTTGACAAAATCTCATGATGGAAAGGAAATAGAGCCACTAGCGTGACAAAATGTACTCACAGGGGGTAGGGTCTTGAGGAGATTGCCATCCAGCCATAATTCTGCAAGGCTTGGYAATGATCCAATCACATCAGGCTGATATAACAAATGAATAAAATAATTAATAAATGATAATATATCAAATAACAATAATTAATAAAAACAAAGGGTAAACATGTTCTGAAATTTAAATGCTTCAAAACATAAAACAAATAACACAGACTCAAGTTTACAGGAAAGTGAGTGACTGAGTGAGTAACAGATTCGTCCCCCTCCAATAGCTCTTCGATTGCTTCGCAATCTTCAAGTTAAAAATGACAACAAAATGCTGAATAGACCTATTATTCCAATGCTCATGATACATAAATTGGATTTTTTACAGGAAAAGTAAAACCATGAGCTMACCAGTTCTTCCAGTTCATTGCAGCCGAGGTCCAGTCTCTCAAGTTTAGTAAGAAATGCAAGGGATCTAATGAAAGAGATTGTTATAAGATTAGATGGTTCAAGATTAGAGTCAATGATGAGAATTTTGACAATGATAAAATGATTGCAATTACAATGATGGAATAATAATGACTGTCATGATACCTAAACATGACAACTTTAATTACAATTATTCGTCGTGCTACAAGTATAATATAACTATGGTTGTACAAGATCAAGTCACATACACTGGAAGGAACTTGATAAGATTCTCTCTTGCTTCTAAGACTTGGAGTTCTGTTAAACTAAAATCAAAGACTGGAATTAATACTGGTAATAACCAGGTGGTTTGTGATACATTTTCACTACAAAATTCCAGGACTTTTCAAGGACTTCAAGGAGTAACATGAACCCTGTACCATGCAACTAATCATAGCACCAATGGTCTAACAAATGACAGAAAAAAAACATAGAACATTCTACATCATTGCTTTAAGAAGACTAGAGGTTTGCAATGACTTTAATCATGCATTTGACAAATGGTTAAAAAATATCCATAGCAACTKCAAAAAGTCTAGGAATATTGCATGAAATAATACAACATTTTCAATATTTTCACASGTATACCTTCCAACATCTGGAGGAAGACGTATTAATGAAACATCGTTCAGACATAATGACGTAAGACTTTGAAGTTGTGAAAATCCATCAGGAAGTCTATGAAAGAAAAAAAGTATCAGGGGTCATTCTGTTAGTAATATGGACATCTTTCATTTTCCAATGCCTATAAATAATTTATTAATTGAAAGGAATTTAACAGGTTACAGAGATAAATCAGTTAAAATCACAAATGTACCTTACAAAAAAAATATGCTTGAGGGATGGATGAGYGAATGAATAATTAAAGAACAGATAGACGGATTAATTGATGGAAGGATGGGAAATGAATGAATGTGGATGCATGACTGGATAAGTAAATGGATGGATGAATGGGAAGATAAGTGGATATACCATTATGAATATATTATTGTAAATATTTCTATAATTTTAATTTTTTTTTATTTTGATGTATGATACACAACTCAGTCTTTTGACTGCGAACAATGTATCTATCTATCTACCAAAAAATAAATAAATGACAAAGAATGAAATGAATAAATAAACAGATAATCATGAAAGTAGGATAAAATATTCAAAGAGGAGAGTCTTTCTTGAATTAACATTACATTATTTACAGCCCTTTCTTCATGAACTTAAAACCAAAACCAAAACCAGAACCAAAACCAAATGAATACAATGTTCTCAAGATCTTAAAGGGTTCAAATTCAATGAACTACAACTTTTAAGAGTTTAAGGAAGCAAAGGGCTTGAATTACTAGGCAATRCCATTCTTTATTGACTGAAAAAAGCTTGAGTAAATATGATTTATTGAAATTGAATAATACAGAAATAATCATGGCACCAAATATYAAATTAGATTAAATTTACTATAAAAATGCAAAATGTCTTAGAAAAACAATGTATTCTGGAAATGTTATCTCTTTTCGTATTTTTTTGCTTTTCTATTTTCAATRATGTATATAATGACCTTATGATATAAAAGCAATGAAATTGAAAATATACTGCTGATAATTGATAATTTTCATGCAGATATGCCCAGGAAAAGGAAATTTTTATCTAACAATTATAAAGATAAGGATTAGACAATTTGTCTTTATTTACAGGAAGTCYAAGTTTTTTCAGTGTCAATTGTCTCTTATTGAGAGAAGACAAATGACAAAATCAAGAGCGTYGCAGCTGCTTTCTGTCTTTAACCTTTACTTTTCTTAATGCAAAACTAAGTAAAAGTAAAACTAATAATGAAATTGTGCAGGAAATTAAACAGAGTTAATTTTAAAWWTTTYCAGCATTTCTTGATGGTGAGTTTGGTGAGAATGTAAGACAATTTTGTACAAGATACAAATTCATTTTACTAATACCGACACAAGCTACAGTTCTATTTAGAATTCCTTTATACCACAAAATAACGGCTAGAATTTACTTGAGGAAAAAATAGACAATTCTCTTAATTTTTTTTGTTTTGTTYTGGTAGAAAAGAAAACACCTTACTCTAATGCCTCCCATTGACACCTATTTTGATAAACAAAATTTAAAATCATCCAGCAACAAGACTTTACTTAAGGCACAGAAACACTTACTAAGCTTCTAAGTGAAAGAACAAACAAGAACAAGATGAAGTATTTCACAATATATAACAACATAAACTGGACAATTAACAAACAAAATACTGTTTTGATATCAGGCGATTTGAATATAAATATTATGAATTTGAAATGGTTTCAAACCAATCTTAGATGTTATTTAATTCAAGGTTTTTATATGAACTATAAAGACAATGCATAATTTAGTAGTGTTATGACTATTACATGAAGATGAAGAACATGAATTTAATATGTCTTCTTGGTGAGTTCAATAAATCTACAACTAGACTTATCGGTAAAATATTAATGAACATAAAATGTTTATCAGAAACATGACTATATATCATGATAAATTCATTATTAAAAGAGGCAAAATTCTTCTTTTGTGTTGATGAGACTAYTTCTATGAAAAATAAAGTGAAATATAAAAATTTATTCATCATATGACACACCATATATATTCCATTGTCAAGAAAAACTATTATAGCATTAAAAAATTGCAAATATGTAGTACTAGAATAAAATATTTTCTTATATTTAATAATCGTAATGATAATATTGAAGATATCTTTTAATTATTATAATAAGAGCAAAATTTATCTAAAGCTATATTAAGCACAATCTCTTAGAGGAAGCACAAGAAAGAAATATTTGTTTAATAAAACCATCATGATATTTGAATGTCAACTAGGWTGGATTTAAGGGATTTTCCACTAAAAAAAATCAACATCGTTTAAAAGGTTTTAGATTAAGAAACCTTACTTACAAACCATTCAATTGGCAAAAATGCAAGAATTTATTGCTAAGATATAATGGGAGACTTCAAGACTGGCTGCATCCACCAATCCTTCTAGCTCTATTTCAATGATAAAAAACACCATTCCTGAAATATTGTACAATACTACACAGGAAAAATATTTACTTAAAAATCAACAAATATGAGGAAAGAAAATAATGTTATTTGACAAGKAAAAAGAATTGTCTATAATCCAGAAGATTATCTCCCCACCAGATCTTAAACTGCACGAATTGAATTAATTACCATAAAAAGATATAAAATGAATATAAAAAAACATATTATCAGAAATTAAATCCCATATAAATTGTTCTCATCTTATTTTGAGTTTGTTTATTGGAAACCAAATGCTACAAAATTTTGACACTGTTGGATATTGTTCTCAAGAAAAACAAAAACAGAATTGATAAATAATATTTCAAAGGAAAAGGTCTTTCTTGTTGTTGCCTGCAGAGATCGAATAAGTTAATTTCAAATAAATATTCAAATAAATACATGGAGAGCAGAATACATTAATCAATATATTAATAACCATGAACAACATGGGAAAGGAATGAGTCAGTAACTGAGCGAATGAGCATATGAAAAAATGGATGAAAGAGAATGACCGACAACTTATTATCTCAGAGAACCATCTCATGACTCAGTATTTTTATGATGAATCACTGGTAGCTGTCCTATTCTACCTTCTTGTTTGATAATCAAGGCCAGGATGAACAAATTATGGATAAAGTTAGCCAGCAATTTGCATGGATTTCATCGTTGGATGRYTTGTCAGATGGATAGCGATATTAACCCTTCATACAACTTGCCCCAAAGTAATTACAAAGAAAACAATCAAGGATAAATGCATGTGTACAAGTTTGCATCTAAAAATAGAATTTTTGATTGTATCTTAAAAAATAACTCATGTTTAACTCCAAATTGAAATAAAATGTCATGAAAACCACATAAAAAATACACTCATTATAAAAGGAAAGGCTCTAACTAGTGTTGATCTAAATTAAATTAAACCATGATCACTCATCAAACATTGGACTATGATTTGAATTGTAAATATTACAAGTTGTATAGGATGGCCTGAAAACTGGTACTTGTACCAAAAAGTTGCATTTGATACTGGACAATTAAGATCAGATGGTGATAAAAATGGTGGCTAGTATTATTAAAAATTTACAATCTTGGCAAATGATGTAAGTATTAATTTGACATATGTTAATATTTGATAAAATTTAGAAATTATTGATTTGCAGATAGCAAAATGTCCTTTCTTAATTTGAGTAAAGCTTGCTTCATGGTTTATCAAATTTCAGCCATTCATTTAAATGTTGAGTAGAAATTGGTTTTCTTTATTTAAAAGCATTATCTTAAGCTTCACTTCACAATTATTCTGCAAATGCAAACAACTGAAAAAAATTGCTGGACTTATTAGCAAAGTGCAATCACTCTGACCGCTATTAGCAAGTYTGTGCTATCTAAAATGACTATTTTGCCTCCACGGTTCGGCAACTATGAGAGATAACAGTTGATACATCTCAGGAATGTGGTATTCAAATTCCTAGGAATTCAGAACTTACGGGATTTATCAAAATACATACTTTGAAGGACATTTTGACTTTTTCAACATTGMAATTGTCATAGCTAAAACGCCTTTGTAAATAAATTGAATTTGAGTTTCGATAGTGTGAAATAAATGCGGAACAAGGGATCAATTATAAATGTTGTTGATTGCAAATGTAACGCTATTGTAACACAGGAAAAGTCACGCAAAAGTTTACAAAATACTGGAATTATTATTGCCTCAAACCTAACTACCATGCCAAGGAGTAACTCTACCAGTGATGACATTTTCTTTGTAAATGCTAAACAATTACTGCATCGTAAAAATGACAAATTACTCGGCGAACGAGTTGAATACAAAGACACTAACAGACTAGTGTGTTCGCTTGTAATGTTGATGTAAGCGAGTTTTGTCTTTAGTATTGCCTCTTACAGTTCATAATAAGGTCTGTGATCATTTGAAACTTGGGTGACAAGTTTTTATTGACACTGCTTTTTCAATCGTATAAACCCGCTTAAATCATTTGAATAAAACCCTCATCTGTCTTCCCAACCTGAAAGTTGACTTTCGATCAGATGACATACTTCTACCACTATTAAATAACCGAATACGAGGTCAATACCTAAATTAATTTTCAAAATCCTAGACTTAACAGAGTAATAGATGATCAGGAGTTGTTGAAAAGGGCCAGTCTTGTAAATAGATAAATAAAAAGCTTATATTTTCCTTCGATGTTGAGTATACGAGAGAAGATTTCCTGATATTTCGTTGAGATTTAAGACTGGGCGTTGTTGAAGCAAATTTACAACTAATTTTATCAACAGAGATTGATTAAAACAAGTAGCCAATGCATCCAAAAGGCACATGAAGCTATACAGTTAGACATTCTCTTGGTTCGAGCTCCAAATATGTGCCTAAAATACACAATTACAACACTGAAATTTACAACGAAATGAAACCTTAAATCGAGAGAATCATCGCTAAAAACCACAATCACAAACCTAGCAAATCAACTCAGATGCCACTTATTGAGAGATACAATGTGCCAATAGAGTTTTCTTACAATACAAGAAAATTAGGGGAGTTTAAATTCAAAATCACTAACGAAACCAGTTGCATTATTAGGCAAAATCACCTTACTACATGCACAGCCCCCGACTAAGTTCTTGTACAAAACAAACTTACTTGGAAATTGGATTTCCGCTCAAGTCCAACGACTCGAGACTTTTGCAGTATTTTATGTTCTCTGGTATATCGCAGATATCTGCAAACAGAGTAGACAGTTGATCCCTGTGTGAATAAAATGCGCTATGCGAGAGCAACAACCCTCAAAACTTGATCACTCGGCACTGATGTCGAAAGCCACAAAGAATGCGATCGAAAGGCTTCCATATCTAGACTGTTCATTAAGTCATGTTTTTATTATTCAGTAACCTACCGTTTCTACTGATATCAAACTCCTGTAAGCTTGCAAGGTTGCCGATTTCTGGAGGGAGTCGAGCGATCTCGTTGTCGCTCAGACCTAATCTCTTGATGTTGTACAACCTGAAAAATGGCTGCAAATAATCGAAAAATTGTAAGTGACGTACAATCAACAGCTCAAATTAAGCATCTTTAATAGCTGTAGCCTTACCCTTGGTAGATCTTTGATCTGGTTAGCATCGAGGAACAGTTCTTCCAGATATCGTTCGTACCGGTAAACTTCATCAGGCACAAAGTTTAGGCTGCAATGAGTCCGATCAAGTGAATCAACTTGGCGATTGCAACGCCACGGCAATAAACACCGAAACATTTGTCAACGCTACTCAACAACTAGTATAATGATAAGTCTTTCTTGTTAAGGTGTTTTTAGGATCCAGTCAGTTGAAATTTAGGAAACCCAAGGCCATTCATGGACTTCCAAAGTGAATGTTTTGCCTCCCTATCATGATAGTAGAACCAAGCTAAACCGTGACGTCACGCATCATGGCGGACCACACCGTCATGCATTGCGAAAGAGCATTCCCTCCGCGCCTTTGATGGTTTTGTCTTTAAAATATTATGTTGTTTATTTGCGCAAAGTTGTTTTTTTGTTAAAAAACAGTTCATGACTCCAAATTATTTGTAAAAATTCCTTATATTTTTCATTTATTCTATCATTTATTTTCCTATTGTTGCCCAAGAGGCAAAGAAAAAGATGTCGAAGTAACAGCAAATTTTTGAATAATATTAACTTATCTTATTGATTTATGTCTTTTTTAGGGGTAGTTTTGAATCAGCAAACTGGATTGAAACAAAGTTTCGGTCCCTTTCGTGTCCTTCTCACAAAACTTGACGCGTAATTTTTCAGGAAATGTGTCTTTGTTTTGACTGAGATTATATCAAAGACATCAGTTTTCATAAGGTGAATTGACTTGTTGTTTATATTGGATGAAAATAACATCTTTTACCAAGTAGTTTGGTAACCTAACTCACGCAACGAATTCAGGTGTTTCAAATCACGTGGCATCTGGGCATTCCTAATACATATCCGGTCTTTAAAATTTACTAATGGGGGAGGGGTAAATACTTTTGCCTGCGAACTCATGAAATACAAAAAATTGTATCATCAAAAGTCTTTTAGGTTATTATGCTCATAATTTACTAAAGAATAAATAATATGTATTTTATAAAAGGGATCAGTTCTTAAAAATAGTTGGTTTTAAATAGGTACTAGTTTGCATAAGATGTTGAGCAAATGTTGTACTCTCCCCTCCCTGATAAGACTCTTGTCACTGGAGAGTTGACACGATTCGAGGTCAAAATGGCGAGGACGGGGCTGCAACAGTATGCTCCGTAAAAGGAGTAAATTTAGCAAGATATTAGTGATGTAGCTTAGGGCTTACTACAAAATATTGAAGAAGACTCATTGCTTAACAAGATGAACTATTTTAAAGGCTTAGTTTCAAATGTTCGTGGGTTTTACAGTGAAATCAATTCAGCCACTTTAACTGGTGCCATCGATGTAGTCGTAATTCGCCAAGAAGACGGTAGTTTCTCTGCTTCGCCTTTTCATGTTCGCTTTGGCAAGCTTGGAGTTCTACGAAGCAGAGAGAAGATAGTAAGTTTTACATCTACCTTATTATAATTTCCAGAACAAATTTAGTCAGGGTATTTCGAAGCGCGCTCGTATAAGGTGCATTTTCAGAAAATTCTGCTTGAKCGTGATTTGTTTGTTTGGGATTTGCAATTATAATCCTAGGCAAATTCTTAGCATTATTTCTATAAGAGTGTCTAGTTCATCAAGGAGTTTGTTAGCTATTTCTTAGATCTGATGCATATTTTGAAGAATGTTTTTACATCACCTCCACAAAAACCTCAGCTGTTTTGTTGTTCTGTTATGGCGTCATAACAAATTTACTTTCTTTCTACATGCGAACATAATATGAAAATTATACAGGAAGAATTGCCAAAATGGCTTGAAATTCTGGTGATTTTTTTACGATTTCAGTCATAAAATCTATTGATTATAATGGTTGTTTATGTCTAAAATATATAAAACGTTATGAGTGGTTTGTTGGTCGTGAATTTTGCTTTAATTTAATCAAGAATAAAGTTTCTATACCACATTTTTAGTAGTCATTTTTTGTTATTAACTTTATAAAAGAACAAATCAGCATCCAAATTTACAAAAAAAGTCCCTCTCGTGGGTGCCCAGTCATGCGATAAATTGTGTGTCGAAATGAATGTTTATTTTGGGTCAATTATTCAAAGATCCTTTAAATAGAGCATTCTGATTTGCTGGTTATGACACACCACCCCTCATCTAACTGTCAGCTGATTGTCACTATAGTAACCTTGATTATCATATTGGTACATTAAACCTTTTTAAATTATGGATGTTTTTTTAAAAAACACTTTTCCTATTATCTCTTCTCTTTCCCATTTTTCTAATGTTAGAGCTTAATCTTGAGTGTAATTCAAAAATATATTACTTCTTCACTTTCTAAGAAAAATCCAATAATTTTGTTTCAGGTTGATATACTAATAAATGGAGAACCAGTTGATTTACAAATGAAACTTGGTGAAGCTGGCGAAGCATTCTTTGTTGAAGAAGTAGAGGAACCATCTGAAGTCCCTAGTGAATTATCCACCACACCAATACCGCCATCATTAAGCCTCGCTGCTACCATTAGTGAAACTAAGGTATGGCAAAGCTAAGCTACCATAATTTGACAAGATAACTAGCTGCTAAAACAGTTAAGCATTTGTGGTAAATAATGATTATAAAAGGATTAAAATTTTACCAACATTTTCTAAGACTTTATTATTCCTGACCAATGGAAGAACTGTCAGTAACATGAATTATTTTCTATCCTTTTAGTTTAAGGGTATACAATTTATTTTTTTATTGCAACTGTAACTATCACTAGAGATGACTTCCTTTTCATTTTTTGATGTTGATTTGTTTACTCAAACAGGAGGAATTAATCAATGAAGACATTGAAAATGGATGTGAAACCCCAACACCCATAGAAAAAGATGAAATAAATACCTCAAATACTTCAGAAACAACCTTTACTGAAAACCCTAACCTAGAAAATATAGTAATACATCAAGAGAGCAAGGAAGATGATAGCAATGAAGATAAAAGTCAACCAGTAAAACAAGATTCAAATCAATTACTAGATAAAGATACATCTAAGAATAGCCAGAATGAACATGAAAAACAAACTAATGAAGACAATTCAAGGACAATTACAGACGATACTATATCAATAGACGTCAAAGAAACTGAACTACTGCAAGATAATCAAAATAAAGAAGACTTTTCAGATGACCTTAGTTTTGATTTAGAACAAGAAAGAGAGGACACAAAAGATGTTAAGATTGATATTCCTGATGTTGATGGTAAAGCAAGAAAGGATTCAATTGAAAATAGTTTAGACAATGTGTCACAGGTACAGGATAATATTGTAATTATTATCAATATACCAGCATGATATTAATCAGACTACACTCCAATATCTTGATATTTTTAACTTGATATTTCACCTTCAGGAAGAAGATGTCAGCCATTCTTTCTCCCAAAGTATTCCTATCCCAGGACGACAAGTAGAAACATATTCTGAATCTCATAGTGTAAGTTACTGTCTTGAACTGATTGATTGATTGGTTGATTATTTGATTGATTGCTTGATTGATCTATTTATTTATTAATTGATTTATTTATTTATTTATTTATTGTTTAATTGACTGATTGATGGATTGATCATACTAGTTCTTTGATCAGTTGATTAAGTGATTGATTGGTTCATTGTTGATTTGTTGGCTAAGTAACTGATTGATTGATTCTGTAATTGATTGATTGATTGATTGACTGATTGATTAATTCTGTAATTGATTGATTGATTGATTGATGCCATACTGATTGATAAAGTGCATGGCTGATAGTCTGACTGATTAATGGACTGACTGTCTCTTTAATGATAGAATGATGAATTCACTGATATTTCATTGTTTTACTAGTGGATACCAAGCAGCTCTGCATCATTAGTCAAAGAAGAGAGATTCAAAATTGATCACCTGTATCCATTATCAGATCTTGACTCACCAATAGGCTCACCACCAAGTAATAGGTACACTAAGCTACATTATGGGTTACAATTATAGCTAGGATCTTGTAAGGTAAATTACTGATAATTCTGGTGTATTGTTAGTGACGTTGAGACGATGGAGCCATTCAACCCACAGCATTGTCTGAGTGATACTGAGGCTGAAATTCAGCAGAGTCAAGATAGCATGAATGTGATTAGCCAAGTTACTTGGGACTGGGGAAAACTACCGCAGGTAAGGAAAATGTTTCATGATTTTGATGATGGGTGTTGTAATTGATTGACAGGTTGATTAATTGATTGACAAGTTGATTGACAGGTTGATTGACAGGTTGATTGATTGACAAGTTGATTGACAGGTTGATTGATTGACAGATTTACATTTTGTTTTTTCTTTGTCAGGGTCGTGAAGGTGTCTACAAACATGAGAGAAACTCAATCAGTAAGATTTCACTAAAGCACATTGAGCATTATTATTATCTTTATTTTGATCTGTTTACAATTTTAAAGCAAATTCCATACTAGTGATCTACAATTACATCAATTTTCTTACAAGCTAAAGACGTCTGTTGCCCTTTTACTGCTCATGGGAATCCAGGCTCTCCATAAGGAGGATAAACGAAGGGATTCTTATTCTCAAAGACAGTGAAAACATTTATTTTATCTTCATATTCAAGGGGTCTATATACCCTCATCCATTAACTAACTTTGTTTTCTTTTTTCAGGTATGAAGCGAGAGGACGGTAGCCATGGTTATAGAAGCAAAAGAAAAGAGCATAAAACGGTAAGGGTAAATCTGTAAATTAATGAATTAAAGCTTATCAAATAAATGGCTGTAGGTCGGTGTATTCATTACGATGTAAGCGCTACTTCAACCTAAAAGTTTTTCATTCAGTCTTGATAATGGCTCGGTGAGCCGAAAGCTTGACGAAAATATATAACTTTTAGGTTGAACTAGTGCTTACATCGTAATGAATTAAAGCTTGATTGATGTTATTAATCTCATTGATATTCATCTCATTCAGATCAAAGAAGAAGGAATATACTTGGATGATCTGACAACCATTGACCAGGAAGTCGCAGCTTTGTACTTAAATCAAGCACTGTAAGAACATAACCTGTTTAAACCTGTTTTAAACCAGTTTTAAATAAAACATTAAAGATAAAACATAAAACATCAGTTTTGACATTCTATATATCAATGAACACAGATGAATAAAAAATAAGGGTTAAAATTCAAGACATTAGTTGATGAATGGACATCAAGAATTAAAGGTCCATCATGTGACATAACTTTGACAACTTTGATTGGACAAACAGCTCATGAATTATTATGCTTGTTTTGCCAAATAAGGTCAAAGGATGTCAGGAAAGCTCCTCAATCACCAACCACTGAGGACATGGAATCTGGGATTGGACAATCATTACCATCTTCTCCTACATCAGAATTAGCAAATACTACAAATGGGTAGGTTGCCCGAGACAAAGAGGATGTAGTTATACAGTTGTGATAAATATTGATAAAGTCTATATCATAGGAAGATAATGTATTTATTGTATTCTTTTCTTAGACCTGAAACCTACAGTAACCTAGCAATATCACTCTGTGGTGACCTCAAAAGTGGAAAAGTTCCTTTAGGTTATTGTCATATCTGTTTTTTTGCTGCTGCTGCTGTTGTTGTTTGTTTGTTTGTGTGTTATAATATTAATAGTTATCATTTCATGTTTATAGAAAGCTTTATTAATAGTCAAGTAACGTTTGAAGATCTTTCATCAAATCCTGCTCTTCTAAGTGACCCAAAGCTAGTAATAAGGATTAATGATAGGTAAGGAGGTTGTTTCATCAAAAAGCAAAACATGATTGCTCAGTCTGACAGACAACAAAAATTCATGCACACTGAATACTGAAAAATCAAATGTGTAACTGCTGTAAGAGCTGCTGCGAGACAAGTAGAGATGGTTTAAAATGTAAAATTTGAAAATTAGACTTTTATTGGTCAAAGAACATTGTTCTTACTGCTGGTGATCATAAAAATGACACAAACGACTTTGATTGACAGCACGCTATGTGTATAGTCTTACTTTTATCTGTAGAACTGRCCTTGTTGCGATGGAAATTATTATAATTCTTGTCACTTTATAGTACTTTTTTGTATGGTCAGTTTCTTTGCTTGTGTGTTTAGTGATTGGTTTCTTTCTTCTTCTCTGTGGTGTTGTCTTATAACATCAATCCATGTATTTCCAGGTATTATAACTGGCAGATTGCAGCTCCAATGTTAGTGTCTTATCTGGTATTTCAAAGACCATTAAAACAGGTATAGAATATTCCTCAACCMTTCGCATGAGATTCAAAAGATAAAAGACCAACAGCCATGCTGGACAAATAAACAATACTAATAAGAAATTCTTTGTTGAAGTTAATTCAAGCTGGCCTCTGTGAAAACAAAGAATTATCATTCTTATCAGTCTATTTGGTTTATGAATAATTAATTCAAATGTTTTTAATTTCAGGATGCAGTTAAGTCATTGATAAAACAGCACATGCCAAAAAAGGTGAGAACCAGTTTGCCCTTGATTCACTCAATTTACTGAGATAATAATTAAAAAAATATATGGTAAATGGAGTACTTCCAAAAGCTAAAATAAACTTCTTAATTCCTAAAATAAACTATACTCCATTTTCGAGATCTTATTTGTACAGCATTAATCTCGAAAGCATGCAATACATTCTCTTATTCAGCAGGGGTCCCATTGTAATGCAAACACTTTGTCTACAAAAAAAACAATGAAAATCTATGCTTGATTGAAGCTAAGCCTGCACAAAAGAGAAATTGAAACTGGAGTATTGTGTGGACATTACCTGGCACATTGTTTGCCAAATTGATTATAATCAACATTACTGCAACTGTTTGTAAATGGAATATAATTTATATGTTTGTTTTTCGTAGGAGAAGAGAAGAGGTTATTACTGGTTTTCATGGAGACAGAATGAAGAACAGGTAAATTCTTGTCAAACGAAGGGGCCACCTTGCAAATCCAGTAGTAATCATTGCAGCAAAAGAATATTACTTCTAGCAGGGTTTCTGAGGATGKTTAATGGTGTGAATGAGGAGTTTCCTGAGGATGACTAATGCATGTATGAGAGTTGACCCTGTATGGTTAAATTGCTTTGCTGTCATGAGCTCATATGTGGTTTCAAAAAATAAGAGAATTTGKCTCACTTTCCCTTGGAAATAAAGATAACCAATCGTATATTTCAAATTTAGAGCTCAGATGAAGACGACTTTGAACCAAACAAAGAGAAATTCCGTTCAAGAGTTCATTCTGGTTCAAGAAAACAACTGACAACAACACCAGACCCATACCAAGACAAACAAACATCACAGCAAACTGAACAGCTCCAAACTGAACAACCACAAACTGAACAGCTACAAACTGAACAACTACAATCTGAAAGTGAAGTGAAGGGACAAAATGAAGGAATGGAAGAACAAATGAGTGAACAGGAAYTAATGAGATCTCAAGCACAACGGCTCAGAAATATATCAGAATGCACAAGTGGGAATGAGTCTGATGTGGGATACAAGAAAACAACTAGACTGACTTCAGAACAGTTGGTAAGACAAGATTAGGGAAATGAAACTTATGGGAAGGGAATGGGAAATCCACCATAGTTTGAAAAAACAGAGCCTACCAATATGAACAAAATGGATTGACAAATGAATTTCTTTAAATATAACAGGAATTGAAGTGGGAATTGAAAGGAAAATGGGAATTAAAAAGAAAATTGCTTGTTTTGAAAGTTGCTAATTTTGGTTTGGTTAATGTGTATATTGCCTTTCAATATGACTGAGATCGAAAAGAGCTGGTCCTATCTGATTGTTCAAGGGATGAAGTAAAAAACAAACTACCCTGCAGAMGACCTATTGAGCTAATGGTTTTTGTTTTTCATCTTGTATTTTATTTTCTTTGTCATCAGGCTAAACTGAAACTCAATGATGGAGCTAACAGTGTCCAYTTTTCTGTAACAACAAAATATCAGGTGAGAGATCCCAAGCTTGTAATAATTATAGTTATATTATTAACACCATTGATATTTACTGCAGGGCACAGCTGAATGCCAAGCTACTATATACTTATGGAACTATGACGATAGGATTGTTATATCTGATATTGATGGAACTATTACCAAGTAAGTTAATGATTTTTGATGACAAAATAGATTCCTGAATCAATCAATGGGTGGTTAAATAAATGAATGGAGAGATGGAGAGATGCATGGRTGGATGGATGAAACATTGTCTTAAATATGAAACAGAAGGAGTAACTGACTGACATTAATCATGTTTCAGGTCTGATGTGCTTGGACAGATTCTGCCTGTAGTAGGACAAGCATGGGCCCAGTCTGGAGTGGTAAATATTTAAAAAAAAACACAGACTAAAACAGACTATAATTGCCACTATATTCCAGTCATATTTTCCTTCATGGTTCCCTGTCATTGGCATCAATGGTAGTATTATACCATTACTCATAACATCCATATAATATATCCTTTTTTGACCAAAAATAGAAGTTGTTGATGTTGATGTTGTTGTTGATGATGATGTTGTTGTTGTTGTTGATGTTGTTGTTATTTGTTTAAGTGGCTCTGCAAGAAATTGTAAACTAAGAACACATATTTCATTGGCATACATTTTATTTTTTTGTTTTGCTTGTTATTGTATTCCAGGCTCATTTTTTTAGTTCAATAGAAAAGAATGGCTACAAATTATTATATTTATCAGCTAGAGCTATTGGCCAGGTAGGCTTGTGTTGACTGACATCCGTCCACTTATGCTTCACCCTACCCACTCCTTTCCTTTCCCACTTCCATCACTCCTCTTATCCATCATCTTATCAATGTTAATACTCTTTGCACTTTTCTCCCTCCTCTTATCTTTCATCCTACTCATCCCCTTTGCCCTTTCCCACTTCCCTCCTCTTATCTTTCATCCTATCGATATCAATACCCTCCTCTTATCTTTCATCCTACTCATCCCCTTTGCCCTTTCCCACTTCTCCCCTCCCACTTCTCTTTCTACAAGACATAATAATAATAATGTTCATTGATTGAACACAGGCTCAGATTACTAGAGATTATTTAAAGAGTGTCAAACAAGATCAGATAACGTTACCTGATGGACCACTTTTACTCTCACCAGCCTCTCTTATTAAAGCCTTTCATAGGTAAAAATACATTTTGTGTTGAAATTCATGGTGCTGCTAACAAGTCATGATTTCATTGTAGCTGATATCTTATTCTTTCTTGTCCTTTTTAGGGAAGTAATTGAAAAGAAACCAGAGGAATTCAAAATAGCAGCTTTAAGAGACATTCTAAGTTTATTCCCAACAACCAAGAAACCATTCCATAGTGGATTTGGCAATAAAATTAATGTACGTTTTCAACATGATACATATAACATTTCAATAAAGTAATGTATGATGGAAGAAGCTGTGGGGAGAGAAAAACAAGGCATTAAAAATGATGAAATTGAAGAAAATCAGATTCAAATTTCACACAATTGCAAACCAAAATGAATATGTATCAATGGCTTTTTATGACATTGTTTGTCTTTTTTTTAGGATGTGTATTCTTACAGAGCAGTTGGAGTTTCATTATCTAGAATATTTACTATCAATCATAAGGTAGGTATTCTATTGCTTTTACTATTCTATTGCTGCAACATGAAGATTATGATGATGATGACGATGGGCACAATGATGATGATGATTGCTTATTAAAAGATAGTTCATGTAAGTTTACTAATGTTAATTTGACTGTAGGGAGAAGTACGGAATGAACTAACAACAACCTTTCAGTCTTCGTAAGTATAATATCAATGATATTATTATTATTGATTGAAGTGTTAAGTTAACCAGTGTTCTTCTTCCCATTCTAGATACCTTGACCTTCAAAACCTTGTTGACCAAATGTTTCCACCRTACAAGAAAGAAGTGTCCATGAAGTCATCTGGGCTTGTAGCACCTGACGAATTTAGTTCCTTTACCTACTGGAGAAATCCCCTGCCAGAAGTGGACCTAGAAGGTCTGGATGTAGAAGAAGAACCTGATGATATTCCAGTAACATTTACTGGTTAGATGTCAATGTGAGTRATAATTGWATCTTATATTATGRCCCCAAACGAAGGGATAAGGGCTTGGAAACGAGGTTTACATCATTATACCACAGAGTCAAGTTTCATTTTCCTTWGTAAAGTCAATTTTTTTATCATTCRCTTTCAGATAGTAGAAATTGTATKATATGAATGCATARAGAAGAMAACCCAGCATTGCATTGAAGACTTCAAGCTTCTTGCTAGATTTTAGGATATTAGAACAACATTATGGCTTGAAGTCATTTGTTATGAATCTCACAAATCTGATTTAAAACTAGCAATGTTAGTAGGAGTGAACACATTTGCAGGATCAAGTCATTTTACTTTAACTGACAGAATGCTCARCATATTTTCTAAGATTTTTATTTCATATGATATTAGGACTGYTTAATAATAATTGATGAACTATGCTAATCACTCTCTGCAAATCATGTATAGATGCACAACGCAGGCACTTKTATTGTGTGTGAATAAGTTTAGTGTGATGACAGTTGCAGGAGAGATAGCGTGCACTAGTGTGCTCAATAAAGAGTCTTATGATYGCTATGACAACTTGGATTCATGCACTTAAAAACAGGTATCCCAACAGCTCAAATTATTTTTTCACTAGAGTATTATAAAAACATGTCACTTATGTTTTCTATGGTTGGTGTTTAATTATATATATAAATAAGAGCTATTCTTTGCGCGATAGTTATGTTTAACTTTTAGGATTTCTGTGGAGGTATACCACAGTGA